CATGAGACCTTATAGCGTATATGCTATGCTTTCAGTGTCCACATTCCGGCGATGGCCGTTACAAATTGACAAAAATGACACAGGAAATGTTTTTTAAAAAGAAAACGGAGAGAAAAAATGAAGCTCTTATCGTTTATATATTTATTATGCAATTAATCATTTCGATGAATGGAACAACTGGGAGTTACGTTAAGCAGCATGTGGACGAGAATTCCAAATCAAGACACGCCCTTGTATGAATACTTTCAATTATACAGGTATTGCAGTCGACTCTTGCTCGTCGGTGGATTTACACAACGAAAACAAGCAATTCTTGGCGTCGCCGTTGTCACATGATGTTTGCAAAACAAAATTAAGTTATTAAACTACAAATTAGAATCTAACAAGTCATTGTCAATGTCACAGTCCCCGTCCAGTTTTTAATTACTGTATCTAAAAACCACCATGACAGGTGTAGAATATAATTAAATGTTATAGAAGTATTCAGCATGTTAATGTGTTACTCATCGAGTACACAACTTTTTTGAACAAAATCTAAGTATAAAAATAAAACATGGTCTCCAGTCAGCATTTTCAATTAGATTATAATGCAGACGTGCATCAAAACTATCATCCGTAATATTCAAACCAAATTTGAAAAAAATCATCAATACCCGTAAAATAAACTAAAATGGCCGCCAGTTTTTCAAGGGTCAAAATGAATAACAAATGTACATGTATAATATTGCAAAATCTTACTTTGGAATTGAGGAGCCACTCATTTTCCAGGGATGAAATTTATAAAATGGTTTTAACAAATAAAAACAGTGCATCAAGGCAATTGTTGATAACTTTGACAGCTCGTGTATGTTCAAGGTGACAAATGAAAATAAAGGCAACTCAACTACCAATTATTTGTAATCCTGATTACAGTACAGCATGCAAGTAACTCATAAGGGGCATATGCAAAGTTTGACAATTATGTCTTTTCAAATTGTGCAGTCTTTAACTCGATTTATTTAATGTACATTTTACAAATTCTGTATTTTTTTAAAAATTCGTTAGTTGATATGTATTCATAATTTTCAGAGTTGAACGTTCCACCCCATAAATGTAACTGGAGTGAGGTCACTCCATGTTGGGAAAAGTACCATGTCACCAGTCTAAAATACACCTAAAAGTATCAGAAAGTATTGATATTGCTATATGGGCGATCACAGAAAAGATTGATGACCAAAGTGTATTTAACTCTGAGGGCGTACTCCATTTCGCTTGATGACGCAAGAGAGCGTAGTGATCTCTCGGTAACATGATACATCCCAGAATGCAACTTTACGAGGCAGACTGTTCGATGGTCAGTTAGAGTAGACGTCCAGAGTGGGAACAACGAGATTGGCGACGGGAGAGTTGGGTCCAAGACTGGGTAGACGACAGATCGGTTCAGTATGGCTCACCACTCTGCGATGATGTACAATTGGGCCCTGGAACGTGCAACTCTTGGTGACACGTAACAATGGTTATTTAACGCTTATTCATCAAAATTGGCTGTTGGTCGGCCGAATTGAATTAAATAAAAAAATTGGTGCTGATGTATCTTCATTATACTATCTATGTTGTCACCAAGTTTCATTGATGTTGTCTTGACGATGCTACGGGGCGACGCCCTCAGTGGTGGAGTCATGACAACGCATGCAATATATTAATACTATTGGTTGAACAATTAACACTGTCGATTATAAAAATGGGGGGTTCGAGCGTAATAAGTGAGAAGAGGACCGAGGGTTTACGGTAACGATTGTTGTTACAATAAATACCTGGCTATGTTATACTACTGTCTTTGTGACTGAATGGTGCGTATAAGAGTGTCGAGCGAACCGTGACCCACTGTACTACTTACTGCCTTGCAAGTTACCCATCCCCCGATGCAATCACTTTCTGTACATTAACCTGACGAGCCATCTACTTATAACAACCTTGATGAACGGAACCCGCACTGTTTACAATGTACAGAGATTGAATAAATCTGTTGAAGTGTATTTGAGAAAAAAGGGGAAAAATACTAAAAAAAATGGCCACAAGTCGGTGAAATTTGGGCGAATTACTAAAAAAATGACATGCACCTGTAACCCAATATGTATGATCATCACACCAACTTTGATTATGGTCGAGTCCGAGAAACATCTGCTGACACGTAACCATTGACGATTTAGCGCTTTTCCATCAAAATTGACCGCTGTTCGGCCGAATTGATTGCAATCACAAACAAAAAATTGGTGCTGATGTATCATTTATAATATTTGCACTAAGATTAAATAAATCTGTAAAAGTGTGTCTGAAAAAAGAGAGAAAATATGTAAAAAAAAATGGCCGCCAATGACGTGCACATGTAGCCCAATATGTATGATGGTCATACCAACTTTTATCCAAATCGTAGTAGTCATCTCCGAGAAACAGCTGCTGATACGTTTGAGAATCAAAAATAGCAAATTTTATGACCAAAATGGCCACCAGTCGGCCACTTTTGTTCCGATCTTCAAATAAAAAAAATCGCATCTATTGTATGTGTGTAAAATTTGAATGAGATTGATCAATGACTGTCTGAGATATGACTCCGGACGGACAGACGGACCCCAAACTAATAGTCACCGTTTCAGGACGGTGTCCGAAGGCGGATTGAGGACTAGTATTGATAATTCACCACCATTCATGCACATTATTAATAAGTAATATCAAAACATTAGTGCGTGGGAGAATATTAATGTACCTTTGTCATCGTGTATTTGAAGAACTGCAAAATGGAACACCGGTTAACGTGGCTATGTCCATTGAGAAGACCGTCAACACCAACTATCCAAGTATTCAGTGATATTAAAATTCACTTTGATGAATTGCATTTAATTATAAGCTATATGGAAGCAGATCTAAAACAACACTTCGGCACATAACACTGGAATCGGAATATGTGATGTGTGGTTTTCACATGAATTATCTCAATAGCACACACGAAACAGCATGAAAGAAAAAAAAAACAGTGGACGAAAAAAACACCACACACAACTGTCAATTTATTCATTGATTCATCTGTATCTAACGAGTTCGCTGTCAATTATATGACCAACGTTTAGTGTATGCTGCCCAGTAAGACGGATTGAGTGCTATACTGATGTCCTTCACATATTCGGCTATGTTGTCATAGAGACGTGACGTCTGCGAGAACACCATTTAGAACATTTGGGTGTCAATTTCTTGTGAAATAACTTGCATTAACTTCTGGAAAAATAGAAGTCCAGAGTCTGGAAATAAAGGCAAAATAATTTTAATTCTTCCATTTACATAATCCATATGCAACATAGCAATCATACTAACATTTAATTCATCCTTGCAAATCATAAATAATAAATTGTTATTATTGCATTTTACATATCTATACAATGTATACGTCATAATAATGCTACAGCGGAAGAGGGCGCCGTGTATCGGAAAACTGTATTGTTACTTTGACCGGTCTTGGCAAGTCGAGAGACCTTGTAGTGACGATGCCTACAGTGATCAATCTACATTCTCTATCAATCGCGCCCTCTAGCGATCAAGACCCCCTGGGTAGTCAAAATGACGTAGAGTTGGGTGAAAGCAATGTACTGGAGTTTAGAAAGACAATTTTCAGTATAATTTACATCAATATTTTTTTTATTGACAGACAACAACTGTTCAACAATATCGACGATGTGAACTATGTTCTTTACTCCCATTTACGCAAAAAAGCAATTCGTCGATAGATGGCGTGCTTCATAGATCTGTGATGTTTTGCACGTGCACGATGAATTGCCTCCCCCAATTCTTACCTAGAATATCTTTAAGCCATTGTGGTTTATTCTTCCAAACGACTCCATAAATATATAACGGGATGCCCGTCAGTATGATAATAGTTCCAATTAAAGCCTCAAATGGTGACGCGAAGATTGAGAGAATCACCAACGCGTAACAGAATAGAGAGAAGATTATGGGGATAATAACTGGTACCTACAATAAAATTGGATATGTAAATTATATTTGAAAAAATAAAACACAGATGTCAAAACACGGATAGACTGTTTTGGAAGTTATATAGAATTATACTTGACATGAACTGCCTATGGGTCCGATGACTTCTATGTCAACACACGACATCACCCTAAATATCAAGATCGCTATCTTCTGTGTATTTATTCAATGTTTGTACACAAAAAATATCCGATTCTTCGTTACGATCTAATGCCACCTCGTTCGCTATCGTTCATTGAACTACCGTAGGATAAGACGTCATGATGTCCCACAGCCCATATGTTGGAGTATATTGATAGGATAATGCACCAATGTTAAGGTAAAAGCCTATTCATCATTTTTGAGAATGTTTGTGATACATCGCATGACAATGTTAATTGGTTTATTGTGTTAAACCATGAATATTATGTCTCATAGCACCATGAAATAGCATTCTCTTTTGTGTCATAGTGACATATTAAAAAAACGTGTCCTAATATTTTTTCAACAATCACTATTTTTAGCATAGCACAATTGCATAGTGCTCAATGTTATGTAAAATTGCATTTTTTGACATTTTTTAAAATCCAGATTTTTGAAGTAATTCAGGAAAACAAAAAAGTTCTCTATCAATATATATGTTTTCAGCCTATGTCTCCAGCCTACAATTTGAGATATGGCATAATATCTCTGCCATAGAAACCTATTGTAAAAACACTATATTATTGAAAAAAAGCCCACTATCCAGTAAAATACAACCGTAATTTTCTTGAAACCTAAGCTGATGACCCACACTTGTTTTAACTTGAAGTCAATATCCTTATATTGCCCGGAAGTACAATTTATTGGAAAAAAATAAATTCTTGTTATTTAAACTCATAAGTAGGCTTCTACCTTAACATTAAACTTTCTTTTAATGTGTGCGTGACAATTCGAAACATTAATTTTGGGAGAGGGCGCTATGTATTAGAATGGTGTAATATTTATTTATGCTTACTTTAAACGGTCTCGGCATATCAGGTCGTGTGTGCCGCATCCACAGAAGACCAGTGGCGACAATTCCCACAAATAACCAGTACGAAAACCCAGTGTAATTAATAAGACTGCCCACGTCGTCATAGAGACCGTATATCACGGTAAAGAACCCCTGCAATATGAAAAACGGCGTTACGAGAGGTATACTAGTGAGCGGGGGGAGGGGAGTAAACGAAACAGTAAAATACGTATCTAAATTAATGAAGCTGATATGAAAATTAAACTTAACGCAATAAAAAAAACTCAACGGTACACCGCATTGACACTGACAATTTTTTTTCAACAACAACAACAACAACAACAACAACAACAACAACAACAACAATAATAATAACATACTACCTAGCACTTGCACTACTTACCATAGCTAGAAGGGCCGGCATTGGTGTTAGGAATTTGATGTGGACCATGCCAAAGAGGTCGGGTAACAATCCGTCTCTTGCACCAACAAATATCAACCTTTAATATATAGTTAAGAGATAACAAACTAGTAAATAAATATTAACTCTGTCTGAATTACATGATGTTAAACAGCTGGAACAAATTTTTGTTTTGTTTTTAAATTAAAGCAGGAACTGCGTGAATGAGCTCCCATATAATAATGAATTAATTAAACAACATGTAATTAACTTGAAATTAACTAAGTTTGAAACAACTAGAGAAAACCTCTACAAAGATTGATTCGCAACTATTAACAGGCACGCAACTACTGAAATAGTATACATTCATTTGAGAAAATCGTTGAAAGACACCGACAATAGTTATTGGAACTTGACTACACAGTGCACATACACATATTTGCCATCGGGCAAACTGTTGATATGACACAGACAAAACACGACGAAATTAGTTTATCAGTATCTTAGATTTTATTCGCCAATATCATTTGTGTCTAGGAAGTGTTTGGAAAGTATAGGTGATTTTCCGTACAATTGCGAGATCTCGCGAGATGCATGAAAGACGCGCGTCAAACGTCTGCCGCAAAAATCGAACGATTTGATTTGAACTCGAATTTCCGTATTTCGTAGCTCACACCGACCGGCCGATCTTCGACAGAGGAATATTGCTTCCGAATACCCTTACTTAATCGAAATTGCCTATCATCAATTGTGGACAGCACATTATTAATCATGGAAATGTCCCCAAAATACTTTCGCGTTTGTCGAATCCCACGCGATGTTTGACGCCACTACGACGCTATGACCTTTGTTAGTCCTGTTTTTACGTTAGATTTCACGCATAACGCGTGATTCTCGCAGTAAACGGAAAATGGTCTATTGCCTATGTGGGTGTATTAGAGTGAACTTACCTTGAAAGAGCCAGTACGTTACCGTTAGTAGCACCGAAAGTAGATATGACCACGGCAAGTGGCATCAGCCAAGCAAAGTTACCCAGTACTTTATCACCAAATGTCTGCAATGAAAATGAAGAATTGAATAAAACATTATGTGATGTGATTATCACTTGGCTGAAAACGTATCCATAGCAACATAGTCAAAATATTCACATAACCGTAAGCATTGTAATATTAAAATCTTACTATTGCAACGGCGGGTGATGCCATCATTTCTGCAGGTGACATAGCGGCAAAATATGCCACGTTTGCCATTACATATATGATCGTAACCAACGACAAGGAGAGGGATGCAGCGATTGGGAAATCACGTGTGGGGTTCTTTAATTCTTCCGTTAAAGCGTTGAGGCATGACCTGTAATGACAAAGATACTTGTTTTGTGAATATTCTAGATGAAATATAGAGAGTTATAAATCCAATTCCCAACCCAAGGACGTTGCATGTTAATGCCCAGGGTAAAGTCTCCTTACACCATACTATCATGCCGATGTATTCGCACTTGTCACGTACTATGGTCTGGCGGCTGACGTTCGAATAAACTAATTATTAGTATTACCCAGTGTCATTTTAACGCCAAAGTTATCTTTAATCACGTTTAAAAAAAACACATATATAATTGTTTTTCTTTTTCAAGTTTCCAAAATATTCATTATAAAATTAAGTCTATTTGGTTCAACATTATAGAAAAATGCATGGAATAGGCACCAAAATCTTAGCGCAGAAAATGATGACGCTCAAAGCAAAACATTCCAGATCAGGTTTTCTTTTGTTTCTCACAACATGCATTCCGACGTGGTCACGGAATAATACATCCTCTAGTGGCGAAATGAATCAGCGAGCGTCCGTCAATGAAACATGTATTTTAAGATATATATACATATGTATGAAAACTAAACATTCAAAGCGAGTTTTCAATTTGAGCGGCATTGCTTTCTCTTGCTCTGTCGCTAGAGGGCGCAAATATCACCCAGTCCTAAAACTCTAACTTACCATCCAACGTAAGAGAATAGACCATTGTAGAAGGCGATCGATAACCTCAATGGGTCGGTGCCAGGACCATTAAAATTGATGTACTGGGTATTACCTGTTGCAATCAATAATGAACTATGTAGTAACATGTATATAAGCGGTGGTTTTAATCGGAAAACAATAATAAAATCAATACAACGTGCACAACTACATTGTATTATGAAGGATGAAAGGAACAAGCATGTTGAACTTATCTGACCATTCGTCTATAAAGCCTCGTATGAATTACTATCATCAGAATACTCACATTCCATAATATGAATTCGTTTTAATATTAATATCAATTATTGTATTTACATATCTACTAATACCTATATTCCAATTTCCAACGACCCCAAAGATATTTTTTGGTACGAAATCGTGTCACGTGGCACACTTGCTCGGAAGTGGCCTACATTAGCTGCATCCAATCACGTAAGTGGAATGGACATTGCATTGTGTCGATACTTGAGGGTGCTCGATTTTTTTCAGGGTATGTTGTTATAATTTCGCTCGTGAGAAACACCTAGTTTTGGCATCATATGATTTAAAGCATACTCATTTTCTGCTATATTTTAGTAATACAGTGAAAGTCGGAGAAAATGTGGCGTTGTCCCATGCGATTCTATATAACATAAACCGAATTGATCTCAGAGTTAACTTCACAGATGACGTTATATGATCTAATGGCGGGATATCCCGACTTTATTTAACATCTCTATCCACATTTTCACCTACATGTACTAATTTTGTGATTGTCTTACCTTGTATCAGAAGAACAATACCGGCGATTATTATAATTCCTAGACCCCCCACTTTGCCAACAGTACAAAAATTCTGTACCCAAGTAGCACCACGCACAGACGCACAGTTGTAAAAGTATACCAGTACTGTTGACAAAAAAAAAAACGCATTAGGTAGAAAGTAAATCACCCCGTTGACGGAGCCAAGGAAGAGCTATCGCCCTTAGTTATAATTATATTTTACACGTATACACTAGACCGCAAAAAATAACTTTGTATATATATCTAATAAAAACAAAATTATTGTTCAGGTAGAGTTAGGGAGGAATTAAATAAAAAATAAAAATGTACAGTCGTATTCACACAGCCCAGTTCCCTAAAAATATTGTTACGTTTAGTAATTTGTTTAGCGTCTTAATTACACACTATGTCGCTTTTTTTGCTGCCGTAAACGCAGCAGTCGTTGTCAAACTAGGCGTGTATAAGCGATGTATTTGACACGCGTTGCATGGGGCCCGCGTCGAAACGACGCATGGAGATGACTGTTGACTTAACTGTAATAATTCAAGCCTAACCGTTTATGAAGAAATCCCTGATAAGACCATGGCCATAATAAATTCAATGGCGTATGTTGTCAATATCACCGTGATGGACAAGGGGATAAATGGGAGTGGCAAAGGTCAAAGGTCATGATAGATACGCAGTATTGTCACCTATCAGTCGTGTGGTGATGATATCACAACGACACAGGAGAGGAAAGCGATGCGAGATAACCTGCACAAACATTTCTACCTGTCAAGGACGATTGTTTTAATACCAAATGTGCTTTGTTTTGACGATAGAGTTGTGCAGTAATCTGAATTGTGTATCGTCCTGCTGTGTCTGGGTTCAGCCTAGCATATCCCTCTCATCGACAGCAGCAATGGCTTACTCTTCGATTGGTAGACATGCAGAGCATGTGAACTAAAACGCGTGTTACCGGCAGACGGGAGCGATAGAGGAAGAGATTTGCCAACGCCCTAGCCTAGTTACATTGCAGACATATGTAGAGCAACAACCAATTGTTTATTATTATTCTTTTTTAATATAATTGTACGCGCGTTGTGTGGAACTTACATTCAACGCTTCGCGACGATTATCGCCCTTTACTTATTACTTTAATCGGTTGAATCAGAAATAAAACAATCAAAGTGCCGCATTTCTCCAACTTGATATACGGACGAAAACCTGTACTTTTCATTATTGTCATTTTATACTAATATTGGGGACCAAATCAGATTATAATTTATCGTAAACTAAAAGTTTTGTAACACACTCTATATTCATCCAATGAAAAACACTCCTACGTATGTCAGTGATTGTTTTTTATGCGTACCAAAATAACCACTGCACATGCGTACATTAGAGAGTGTCATGGTTTCATCGAACGAACACTGGATTGTGCGCTACACCAGCTCCCTGGCTACACAAACACGTGTTTTAGGT